CGCCCCCTACCCGTGGCTCCTCCCATCTTCCCATGGGTGCTGGCCCCATCCCATGAGTGCTGGCCCCACCATGTGGTTCCTGGCCTCCATCCCATGGGTGCTGACCCCATCCTATGGGTGCTGGCCTCATCCCATGGGTGCTGGCCCCATCACGTGGTTCTTGCCTCCATCCCATGGGTGCTTGCTCTGTCCCATGGGTACGAGCCCTCTCCCATGGGTGCTGGCCCTATCTCTTGGGTGCTGCCCCCATTCTGTCATTGCTGGTCCTGACTAATGGGTGCCGGCCTTGTGCTGACCCTAATCCATGGGTGATGGCCCCATCCTGCACTTGCTGGCCCAATCCCGTGGGTGCTGGCCCTGTCCCATGGGTGCTGGCCCTGTCCCATGGGTGCTGGCCCCACCCCATGGGTGCTGGCCCTAATCCATGGGTGCTGACCCTAATCCATGGGTGATGGCCCCATCCTGCACTTGCTGGCCCAATCCCGTGGGTGCTGGCCCCGTCCCATGGGTGCTGGCCCCATCCCATGGTTGCTGGCCCCACCAAAGCCATTGGGGCTCTTACCAAGGCACCGGCCGCCGAGTGCTTGGAGTCCTTGAAGAAGGTGAGGATCCCCCCCTCCAGCACCGTCCAGGAGGAGCTCCAGTTCTTCCTGGGGAGCAGAGAGGGGGGGGTCACACAGGGGGACAGCACAGCCCCTGTCCCCTCCTTCCCCCCCCCGGGGCTCCCTCCTCCAGTGGCGGGGGACACCAGGACGCGCTTACCGGAGCCGCTTCCCTCTGTCCACCGTCTTGGTTCGGTTGAGCACTCCGGCTTTTTCGAGGTTTTTAAACTGGAAAGCAAAATCTTTGGCCCATCCCCATCCCTGTCCCTCTCTCTATCCCACCCCTGTCCCCATATTTGTCCTTATCCCGGTCCCTGTCCCCATCCCATTCCCTGTCCCTGATCATATCCAACCCCTGTCCCCATCCCAGTCCCTGTCCCTGTCCCCATCTCCATCCCCGTCCTCATCCTCATCCCCATCCCTGTGCCCATACTTGTCCTTGTCCCCACTAGCCGGCACCTGGGATGGAGGGACGGATGGAGGGAGCGGGTGATGCCCGAGGTGCCCGTGCCGGATGGGGGCTGTGCTCCGCACCCACCGCATCCCAGAGCCCTCTGCTTTTGTGGCCCCGTGAGGATGCTCATCCCCTGCCCGACACCCCTGTCCCCATCTTTGTCCTTATCCCGGTCCCCATCCCTGTCCGTATCCCATCCCTGTCCCCATCTCCGTCTCTGTCCCTTTCCATAGCCCTGTCCCTGTCCTCATCCCTGTCCCCGTCCATATCCACTGCCTGTCCCCACCCCAGTCCCTGTCCCTGTCCCCATCTCCATCCCCAG